AATGGATCCTTTCTGGTACCCCGCCGACTGGCAGTCTCGGTCAGCTCTGCAAGATCGGCTCGCTAATCAACTCTCATGTCGCCCGGGTTGCTCCCACGCCTGGATACTTTCCCTACGTTACCAATGGACCTGAGGTGGCCGAGTTAACACAGGGAGAGGAATTTCTTGCATTCCGCGATTGTGCATCGGCCCAGTTCGCGCTGGAACGCCATCAGCAGGGACAAAGGTTCGTCGAACATTTCTTCCGAAAGAACGAGACAGACGTTTCCGACATTCCCGTCATTGAACGTATCGTTCTGTCTACCTTGAGCCCTCAAGAGACTATCATCTACAACTTGGTACAGCAAGCTCTCCGCGACGCCATGTGGCATGAACAGGGCGTCAGCGGTTACTTTGCACACTTGATCGTAAACACCCTGAGCAATGAGAAGGGAAGCCGAGCGGGTCAGAAGGTCACAGGGTCTAAGGAGTCTGCGTATGCAAGCACTATCGATGCCCTGAACATTTTGGCATCGGTGTCAGCCTCATACAACGCGTTCCAATGGATTCCTGGCAACCAAGCCGTGACCGCAAATACCATCACCACGGGTTCGAATATGCGGGGCATGGCTTATTTCAACCACTGCAAGGAGACTCTCGCCTCCCTAATTGATTTGATGATGTTCCTAGCAAATATTATCAAGCAGGACAACTCGCCTCGGGACGACACTCGCAGCAAGAGGGAGGCTGCTTACATGGAGCACATGCAGAAGCTCATTGCGAACTTTCGCGCAGCTGATGGAGGAGCTTTTGGGGACGTGGACTGCATGCGCAACGTCAGGGAGACTGTCATTCACAAGAAGCACATCAACGGCGCCAACTACCGCTACGTCATGCCTCGGGGTCGTTTGTTGTGGGACGCTGAGAACTGGGCGAGAGAGAAGGGTGGCCCAGGCCGGTATGATCAGACAGATTGGTGGAAGATGAAAGATGTTGACGACGTACTGGACGAAGAAGTCAGCGGACTGATGCACCATCTTCCTCATATTTCTCCAGACGATCCGATTGACAAGAAGGATTTTGTCCGACAGCTGGGTGCACTCCAGGATGACCCGAGAAAACGCAAACGAATTGCTAGCGCCGTTGGTCTCAAGAAGACAGACATCAACGAGGACATGGACAAGAAGGTTGAGAACTTTTTCAAGGCCAAGGACGAAGACGTCAAAGAGACCAAAAAGACCAAGAAGGCCAAAGAGGCCAGGGAGAACAAGGAGGCCAAGAATGAGGGCAAGAATGAGGGTAAGGCATTCGAGTTCGGCGTCAAGCTGTCGTCGAAGCGACCCAAAGTCAACACGAAACACACTGTACGATCGTCGCTTGTCGACCAGACCCTCGACTGCTTCATGCTCGTCATTCAGAGTATCGAGTCCGGCATTATGGTCACAGCTGATGCATGGAGAAGAAGTCTGTTCGCCATGAAGGCTTGCCTGATCATGCATCGCAATCTTGAGGCCTACGGAGGCTTCGCTGTCGAATGCAACAAGTGCTCCAACCAGATCACCGATCTGAACGAAGGTTTCTTGTCCGTCGCATGCGGTCATATGCTCTGCAGCACTTGTTTTACAGGATTCAACAGTTTGACAAGTGAGAGGTGCCCTTCTCAGGGAGGCTGCACGGCCATGTCTCGAAGCACCTTCATTCCGTGGTCGATGCTCATTCACGACCCTGAGTACAATCTGAATGATGATCTTGCCGCTGAGCCCAGTAGCAAGGTCAAGTCAGTGCACAACGTGATTCAGAACGAGATCGCGCCCTACAATGAGAAGGTTCTTATCTTTGCAGCTTACAATGGCATCAAGATTCAACTTCGGGAATTCTTGACGTCGCAAGGTCTTGCGGTGTACCTTACAAATGGAGCCAAGAACGACCCTGAACAGATCGAGGCGTTCAAAAACCACAAAGGCACCGCTGTCCTCATCCAGAGTCTCATGTCTGCCGAGAGCGCTGGCACCAACCTGGTAGAAGCGAACCACGTCATGTTTGCCGGTGCCCTCAGCACCGACACGGTCAACTACGACATGTACATGAGACAGGCAAAGGGAAGAGCTGTCCGCCAGGGACAAACGAGGGGCGTTATTGTATACCACTTTGTATCTCTGGGCACTCTCGAGTTCGACGCGATGAACAGGCGCTTGAAAGGAAAGCTGACCGATTGGGGTGAAATCCCTGGCCGTGTTGATCTTCCTCTCGCAGACCCCGCGCCCGTCAGCCCGCACTACCCCATCATGTTCCGCCCTTTCGTTAATGAGGTTCAGTCCGAGAGGCTTCTCAGCTCTGTTGAGTTTGAGGAGTTTGAGATGGAGTGAAGGTCGCGTTGGATAGAGTTGAGAGGAATGTCGTTTACGAGGATTTGCTGAAGTTGCCGCGAGCGCATGGCTATGCACAGATTGGAAGATGTTCGCGCAGGCTACAGATTGGACTTGTTTACGCCCGGGGTTGGAGGTTTCGAGATTTGGAGTGTGATGAGCCCGATTGAATGGGGTTGAATTCTGTTCGAGTAACTGGAAATGGCCAAGGATTGGTTATGGATTTGCGAAACGGAACTGTCATTACCGATTGCTACCTCAGAAAACATCAAAGATCATTGATCACCAACGCTGTGTTCCCATCGTGTTGTTCTCTACTCAGTGTTGTGGAGGTCGGCCTAAGTCCTTTGGCTGAGGCAAAGGCCACGAGTGCGAATCGTAGCATGCCTCCTGCTGAGCCCTTGAATATTACATCGCGCCGTAAATGATCTATCGAACTTTCATTGTGTCTCAATTTGGTGATTTATCTATGCGACGCCATTTCCCGAGACATGCCCGACGCCAGCCTGACCGAAAGATTTTCAAACATGACCAAGCCTGAAGATCCAAATACTCAAAAGCAAGAAGTCGGCGTAGATGAACTCCTCCTCGTTTCCCTAACCCCTCAACACCTTATCCTCATACCACCGCGCTCACAACTTAGCAACAGGCATCCTCTCCGGCACCTGCACTACAACCCCCTCGCCCTGCGCCTCAATCACCACCTCCTGACAATCCTCCGCGCCCACCCCGCTCGCGAACTGCGTCACCACGAAATCGATCGCCGTGCCAGGCGGGCCCAACGCCACCATCGGCGCGTGCCACGTCCCGGCGCCGTAGGTCACCGCCTGTCCCGGCGTCGCCACGAACGCCTTCAGGTTGGCGAGGTCAGGTCGCCCGGGGCCCTTTCCGCCCGTCTTCGGCGCCGGCAGCGAGGAGTCTTCGCCCTCCGCGGGGAGGGTGGGCGCGACGATGACGAGGTACGCTGCGTGCGGGACGCCCGCGGACGCCGCCAATGGCACAAAAGTCTGGGTGGTGAAGGGGTGGCGCTCGAGGATGTCGACGCGGAAGAGGCCGGCGCGGGAGGGCCCGGCGTAGGTGTAGGGCAGGAGGGTGGAGATGGGCGGGTTTCCGGAGGGGGACGGTGGCTGTTGGAGCTGGCGGGCGGCGCAGGAGAAGATGGAGACGATGGGTTTGGAGGCGGCGGAGGGGGCTTGGGCGTAGAGGTCCTTTGGAGCGGAGACGTTTTGGTACTTGATTGCGGTGTGCTGGTTCGCGGAGACGGCGTTGTGGGAGAGGTTGGAGGGGAGGGAGGCGGAGGGGCGGATGTCCGGGTGCGGGTTGGCGATTACGTCGCCGAAGGGAGCGAAGGAGGAGGGGGAGAGGGGGGTGGCGGAGATGTGGAGGGAGAGTGGTGTTGTGAGTTTTTTTGGCATTTTGGGCGGAGTTTCGTGGTGTCGATGGGGAGATATTTGGTGGTGTTGAAGACGAGATAGGGAGGTATGAGATGAGGTTGAATGAAGCTTGGCTGGTTGGTTGGTTAGTGTGAGTGAGTGAGAGAGCTTGGCCGCTGCCGGAGCTTCTTCAGTTTGGGGGAGCTTTGGGTGGTGGAGCTGCCCGGCGGCCGGTGGTCTGTGCGTGCGTGCCGACGATGTGGGGTTTTGGTGATGGGGCGAGATAAGGACGGGCCGGGGTCATGGTGGGGTTGCTAACAGATGCCATCTTGGAGGGACTTTGGGGTGCTGGAACGCTTTGTCTCGGAGTCCCCAACCAACGGGCACCTTCATCGTCTACGGTTGAGAGACGAACGGTTTCTTTTGGGTTCACTTCTCCTAAATGAGCAGCTTACGGCTGAAGGTCTCATCTGTTTGCTAGCAACTTCTTCTCGTCTCTACCATCCTTCACCAGAGCATGAAACTCAAAAAGAGCTTCAAGGCCTGAAGAGCAGTTGACCAGCGGACCGAGGCTTCTCCCAAAGTCATCCATCATGCTCGTGAACTCAATCTCCTCACTACCCCTCAACTAGTTGTGGGGGTCGGTATCTGACGAAGTAGAGTTTTTGAAGAGACATTCTAGAAGCCATTGGGAAAGCGAGGCATCGCTGAAGTGGCTTTGTCCTCAAGAATCAGGGCGTCTTCTTAAATGCCAGCTTCCGATGTTAGGTGAAGACGTGCCAACCACCGGCTTCTCATGTAGGCATCCGTTCAAGTTATCAAAAAGTAGTGCCTTTGACTTCAATTACATAATGAATCAAACGGATACTTACTTCATGTCGGGTGCCATCAAACGGAGAGGCCCGGGCCACAGTGCGAACTTCAATGGGGCCGGGTGAGGTGTTTGCAACTGAAGCATCTCTGCAGGTTAAACGGAGGTCAACCCTTTATCCCTCAACTTCACGATAATGTTCTGGCCAACATTTCATTCCAGGGCTCAGTCATTCACTTCACATTCCCACCGCACTCCCATCACTATCAGAACTTCGACGCTGACTCTGCCTCAGCGCAACCACCATAGCCTAGCCCCTCAGTCCTCCTACCCTCACACATGCCCTGACACCTGCCGTCAGAAGCCCTCCTACCTACCCAGAATAACCTCACATTAGCTCCATTTCGCTTGCCAAACCCGCGAAGGACCCCGATCTATCTAACTCCCTCGCTGCGCGTCAAGAAAGCTAAAATGGAACTTCGTCCAAACCACCAATTCAATCCTTTCGCGTCCGATGAGGAGCTTGCGCAATATGACCTCCCGGACCTCCCAGCAGACTTCGACAAGATGGACTTCAAAGAACCTGCCACTGTGTCCAGACTCCTAGGGATGCCCGTTCCTCATAAAACACCAGCCGAGGTCCGCAAGGATGCAAAGTCACTCTCCTCCTCACTGCTGGCAAGCTACGACCGCCTGAGGGCCATCATCGCACGCCACGAGCCCGCCATCCACCACCGCTGGTTGCGGAAGAAGAGGCACCAGCGGCTTGATACCCTCACGAGGGCTTGGGGTCCCGGTATGGCTGCTGTACACCGTCCCGACTTTGACGCGTGGCGCAAGCAGGAGTCATCTTTGGCGGCTTCCCGCAAGGGGAGCACCCAGGATAGAGACTGCTTCATGTGGCCGTACATCAACCAGGAGGACCTGCTGAAGCCGAAGACGCTGCTGCTGCTGCTCAACGCGCGGGGCCGCCACCATTCCTCCCACTTCGCCGGCGCCGACTTCGACGCGATGCATCTCGGCTGCGTCACCCAGAGGATTGTCGCGGTGTTCCTCAATTGTTACGTCATGATTCTTCACGGGGCCCGCGACGCCCGTGAGTATGGCAAGTTGGTGGCGTGGGAGGAGCATCCCGACGCGTTTGAGTGGATGCATACCCGAAGACAATTCATGCCGGGCGAGGGCCTTCTCGTCCTCGAAGCACAGGAGAGGACGCTGAGTTTCCTGGTCAAGTGCTGCGAGCTCATCTTCCACGACGTCCCCTCGGACACGCTAACCACAGACGTCTTTCCCGTCCAGCCGGAGCCCGAGTTCAAGAACGAGCAGGAGGCAGATGGGTTCGACTCGTTGGCGGCGATGGCGGCGGAAGCTCCTTACCGCTTGCCCGCGCGCCTCGACCTCGACCGCATCCAGTCCCTCCTCGGCACCAAGGTGGCGGCCGCGCGAGACCACATCTGGTCGCTGCGTGAGGACCCTGGATACTTTGCAGAGCAGCTCGCCGAGATCACGGAGCATCGACAGGAGATGATTAAAGATGTCAATGGCAACGCGCATCCCACGCTCAGCCGCCTTAAGCAGGACACCTTCTGGGCGCGGGTGGTCGCGGAGACTGTGGCCAGAGCGTACGACGAGCTCGAAGTCTACACGCAACTCCACGACCTCGCGTTGGAGCTGCGGCGGGTGCTCGCCGCTCACGCCGGGTCAATACACTCGTCCAGAGACCTGCCCGACGAGGTCATGAACTCCCTCCTCAAATTTCGTTTCTTCCTCAACGAAGCAGCCAAGGGCCCGCTTGGGCAGCTTAAACAGAGCGTTGTTGCCTCCCCGCCGATGCGCCGCTTCTTCGCGCGCGACCCGCCCGTGAACGCCTCATTCATCGGTATCAAGATGAAGTCCGGGGTGAAGATGAACAAGATCGAGACGCAGCTGACGTGGCTCCTCCGTACACTCTGGGAAGACGGCCAGAATCTCTTCTTCGCGAGCATGCCCCTGATTCTGGACGAGTTGGAACGCCTGCTGCACGCTGAGTCGCAGGCGAAAGAGCTGGTCAGTCCGTATATTGCCAGCGTCATCGGCAGCCTCTCCATCATCTCGCAGTGCATCTCCCAGCTCGACCTCTACCAGCCTTGGGCACGGAGCTACATGTCCAAGATGGTGGACAGGGAGGATGGCTTGAAAAAGGAGTTTGCGGTGCAGACAGCAGGGCGGGCCAAGGTCATGGCGGTTCTGAGGGAGAGCAATGTTCTGCCAGCCGCGAGGCTGGCCGAGCCCTCGAACAACAGGTTCGCCTACCCGTCGGAGAAAAGGCGGACCAAGGCGGTCACAGCCACGCTGATCGAAGCCGAGAGGAATCTCGACGGGGTCTGGGCCGCCGTCGACCGCCTCATACTTGAAAAGGCCGGGGGCTTGTGGATGGATGCCGTGAGACATGTCCTAGAGCACAACCGCGGCCTGCAGCGCACCCCGGAGTGGGTTGATGAGCCGGCTACCGGGGAGAAGAAGCCTAAGCCGACGGACGTCCAGACCGACATCGTTTATCGGCCGCTATCCACACTGTACTTTGAGAAGTCAGGGGAAGCGGCAGATGATGCAGCCCAGCTTCCCAAGCTGAAGAAGAAAACAAAGGGCGTCGCATCGCAAGACCCAGCAGAAACGTCCACTCCCACCACCGAAGCAGCTACTCACATCGAGACGTCCGCGCCCCCCATCCGCGTCGACGCCCGCTCCTTCAAAGTCTTTCGCACGCTCTTCTTCGATCCCAACGTCACCTCCCATCCGGGCCAGGTTTCGTGGAAGGACTTCCTTCATGCCATGACCGGAACGGGCATCTTCGCCGCCGAGAAACTGTACGGGTCCGTGTGGCAGTTTGAGCGAACGGACGGAGACCAGAGCCGGATCCAGTTCCACGAGCCGCATCCGTACAGCAAGATCCCGTTCGTGGTGGCGAGGCGGATTGGTCGGCGGTTGAATAGGAATTATGGATGGACTGGGGATATGTTCGTGTTGAAGGGAACCCAATAGGGTCTGTTTCGGAAGGGCTGAAAGAGGAGGAAATTCCAGGAATTCAAAAAAAGCACGCCGAGTTTACATTCATAGTAATGCTGGTTTAATCAAACCGCAGTCTGCTCTGCAGAAACATCAGGAGACGCCGTCCCTTCTTCTGCGCCTCCAACACTCCTAATAATCCGCTCAAACACACCAAACCGCAAACTCACAATCGAATCATGATCTGCCTTCGGTACCACAGAGCTCGAGAACTTGATCCTCTCCCCCCTCTGCTCCTCCCTCCAACACTGCTCAAACCACTTGGGCCCGTCGTCCGTCCCAATCATCGCATCCGACGCCGCGAAGAACACCTCAACCTCCAACCCGCCACCCTCTCCCAGCTCCCTCTCCTGCTGCGCCAAAAGTGGCACCAGCTTATCATAGTCCTCCCATTCGCCCCAAAACATCTCATTCCCATCCCTCTTCAGCAGCAGCACCGCATCCTGCCCCAACCCCTGCACGCTTTCCGCATACACCCGCTTAATCAACGTCCCCCAGATCTTCTCCTCAAACTCCGCGAGCCGCACGTCACTCACCCCGGGCGCGGTATACTCCTCCGCCGGCGTGCCCGCGAGACTCGGCACGATCCCGCTCAACATGCCGCTCACAGCGTTGCTGAACCCGACCGTCGCAGGGACGAGGCTGCGCACCATGAAGCCGGCCACCTTGTCGAACGACCCGACCAGGCCCTGCGGCAGGGTGCTTGTGAGGCTCATTATCGCGGCGCCCGAGTGCGACGGGTGCACCCACGGCGCACACAGCGCTACATACGGCCGGGACGGGGAGAGCAGGTGGCGGTGGTGCAGCAGGGTGTTGAGGGCGTAGAGGGTGCCGCCGGAGTGCGCGGCGAGGACGACGTGGCGGACGCCGAGGTGGGCGAGCAGCGCGGGCACGATGGCCAGCCAGGCGCGGATGCGCAGGTTGGGGGGCACCGGGGTGGTGCCGCCGAAGCCTGGGCGGTCGATGTCGATTATGCGGACTTTGTGGCGTTTGGCGAGGGCGTCTTTGGCGATGTGGAGATAACGGCTTGATGTGTGTGTGAGATGGGATGAGATGGGGATGAGATGGGGATGAGATGGGTTTCTTACCTTCCGAGGAGGGGCCCGCAGAGGAGGAGGACGTGTGTGGAGGACGGGTCTGAAGGGTCGTTGTGGCCAAAGTCGGCGTATGTCACTTGGAAGTTCTCCGGGAGGTCGGGAGTTGGGGGGAGGGTGAATTTGCGGTTGAAGCGCGGGTCGTCGAGGTATTCTGCGGGATCGGGGAATTCTCGCGGCGGATTGGGGTCGGTTGCTGGCGGTGGGGTCTGCGAAGCCATCGTGATGTTGAAGTCGGGCGTTGCAATTGAGTTTTGGGCTGGGGTGTCAGGGTTCCTCCCGGGGAGGAAGCTTCTCTTTTCTTCTTGAAGAGCTTGGATCGGTTTCTGGGGGAGATGTTGAAGTTGAGTGGTCCGACCATGATGATCGCGCATTTTATGTGGGATGGTTCGCAGACGCTAGGCGCCCGGTTTGCTGCGCCGCAGCGTAAGCTAACGCGTGTCAGACTGTCGAGCTGGGTCAAGGTGCTTATCTTGAAGGATGGAATGCTGGACGGCCCAGCCTTGGCTTATCGGCTGGAATGAGTGGCTGATACAGAACCTCAAACGAGGTGCCTCAAAGCCTTGGATATTGAGAATTGGGGGCTTGTGAGTTGGTCTTGAATATTTGGGTATCTCAATATGAGTTTTCGGGCTGTAGTTGGAGAGATTGATGGCAGGCGTATTGCGGACTTGCCAAGACCCGTCATCTGGTGGTTAGAACATGAATGCCCACACAGCATTATTTGTCTCTTTCGTATGTCAAGAACAAGGATGCCTCTGATGAATATCTGAGGTTGAAGGTATCGATGTTGATGCCATGTTTCAGTCATGGCGCCGCCGGTCGTTGAGCACCAGACGCAACGGCTTTTCTTCTGCAGATGTTAAACAGACTTTCTTCCAAAGCTGTTTTTGAAAATGGTCTCGGTAAGCTAATTCGATCGAAATTCGGATGGAAAGAAAGCGTTACACGCACAAATACCAGACATCCAGACATGGCGATCAGCACGCATGTCGCGCCTCCGCCAAACAGTCTCATCAGTCAATGCTGCATCGCCAAGGCTATTTCCACTCACGAGATGAAGTGGGTTGAACTGGATTGTAAAGCCCAAAAAGCATGGTCATTGGGTCATAGCACGTCTTTCTCCTGTTGGAAGCAAGCTGGACAGCAAGCATTTAAGCCAAGCCCGCCCCATAGAACTCCGTCTCCAACGAGGAAAACAATCCTGACCTACTCGGGGGTTCTCACAAGTTCTTTTCAGGCCGCTCTTTGAACCCAAAAGTACTTTCCATTATCAGTGCTCTTTTGCCATCTCGGAAGTTGCAACCATGGTCAGAGCGCTTCTCATCGCCGCCCTCGCCTCCGCGGCCCTCGGAATCACCGTGCCCGTCCCGGCCGACAGCCCCGCTTCGGCCGGCGACGCCTACGTACCCACAACGGAAGAGCTCGGGGACCTGGCCCTTGCGGTCCCCGCCCAGGCTGATGACGCTGCGATTCCTGACGCTACGGAGTGGACGTCGTTGGATAACGGTGACGAGGGTGGTGTCGGGGGCGGTGTCGGGGACGTCTCCGAACCTAAACTCCCTGCTCAGAGGCGGGCTGTCGATACCGGTAACCTTGATACCAGCGCCCTTGACACCAGCTCTCTGGATACCGACTCCCTCAACACCGCCCTCAACATTGACTCCCTCAACACCGAGTCTCTCGATACCAGCTCTCTGAACACCGACTCCTTCACCTCCACCCTGCCCACCTCCACCAACATCAAGCGCAGGAGTGCCGTAATGTGGTGATAATGTGGCACGAGATGAGGCTCGAAAAGTCGGGGCTGCATACGGATATTAAGTTGTTGGATGGGGTTAAGTATGCTGTTCTTGGCGGGGACGAGTAAAGGCTAGGTCGAAGGTGTATTGGGGATGGTCACATTTTGAAATCATGCATATTAAATAGAGCACTGCCATCTAACAATGCTAAAACTCCATCTTAAAAAGCTTCGACTCGCGGATTCTTTCGCCGTAAAAGAAGAGTATGAACGGCAGCGGAAGAAAAGCAAGCGATATGAACCCGAGGACCGAGTTACCCCAGCCTACCCCCAGGGCGTCGAACATGGCGCTACCGGCTAGAGGGAGCAGCGCTCCGAAGAGACAGCGGAGGATGGCGCTCGCGGCCATGACTGAGGCGGAATAGACCGTGTAGGCGTCGATGAGATATGTGGCGGTGGTTGTCTGCAAACGGAGCATTGATCAGTCTTGCTGCCCAAGGTGATGGCGTGAGAGAAACCCACATATGCAGTCACGATGCCAATGCCAAGCAGTGCGGTTCCCATGATGGGCACAATCCAATGCGCCTTGTACTCGGCTGACCAGCCGTACCAGAACAGGCCCACGGGGACGAAGATGGCGCCGATGACTAACGTGGGCAATCGGAACTCGGGCTTGGCCACGCCATCGTTCTTCTTTGTGAGGTATGCGGACCAGGGATCGGAGACGGCGCCGACGAACAAGAGGCCTAGGATGAAACCGACTCCGATCCCGATGCTGGTCAGCCCGGAAGCGCCGCTGCCAAAGCCGTATTGGTCCTTGAAAATGCGCGGAAACGTCGTAAAGCAGAGGTAGGCGTAACTAAACACAGTCGCAGCGTACGCCGACATCAAGAAAATAATCGGCGAGACAAGCATCTTCGGCGGGCGCAGGATCGCAAACTTGAACAGCTGCCCGGGCGTCTTGCTCGTATCCAGCGCCGACCTCAGGCCCTCATTCCCCGGACTCTTTCGCAACCTTGCCGTCTTCCTCTTCAGTATCGCGTACGGATACGACTCGTGCAAAAACATCACCACACACACAGCCATCACCCCCGCCGCGATCGCCATCACCCAGAAATCCCACCGCCACCCCGCCGCCGCCGTCAGGTTCCCCCCGATAATCGGCCCAATCGTCGGCCCCAGGGTCGGGCCCATGATGTACGCGGACATCACCCGCCCGCGGCGCTCGCGCGGCACCATGTCGGCGATGGCGCTCGCGCCCAGCGTGCCGGCGCAGGACCCCGCGACGCCGGCGAGCAGGCGGAAGGCTATTAGGGAGCCGAAGCTGGGCGCGAGCGCGCAGGCGGCGTTGAAGAGCGCGAAGAGGGCGGCGCAGGCGCGGAAGACGGGGGCGCGGCCGTGGAGCTCGGAGAGCGGCGCGATGAGGAGGGGTCCGAAGGCGTAGCCGAGGAGGTAGATTGTGGTCATGAGGGCGCCGAGGGTGGCGTTTGTGGTGTTGAAGTGGTGCATGATGTCGGCGGCCGCGGCGGCGCTGATGGTTGAGCCGATGGGTCTAGCAGAGGCGGGGAACAGAATCAGTTTTGAGGGTTTATGGGGTGGTGAGACTTGGGGTAGAGTGAAGCAGGACTTTACGAGAGGAGGGCGGTCAGGGACACGATGATTATGGTGATCGTCTTCCTGGTTGTTGGCCAGTTGAGGGGGTGTTCTGGGTCATTCGGGCCGTCAAAGTCGACAATGTTTGGATCGTGTGGTGTTTCTTCTTCCGCGCTTTTCTCTGGTTCCGGCCCCTTCTCAACGGCGAGGCCTTCTATGGCTCTGGGTGCATTTCCAGACATTGTAGGTTTGGTTTTCTACGGTCGCATGCGTATGAATCGATTGAATCCCGAGTTGTTCGAGAGCCATGAAGTCTGACGTTGTCGCGCTCAGAGTGCTCAAGTCTTGGCTGAACGATGCCCTTGCACCAATGATCGTGAGATGATCCTCTAAAATCGATGTTGATTGTTGAAGTGAAGAGGGTGAATTGAAAAACAAAATCGAGAAATCTGAGCCAACAACTTATCTGCCCGTGGGCTGCGGATTGATCCTCGCTGCAGTAGGGATGGCTGCACGGCGAGCGGAGAGTGGGGCCGTTGCCGGTACCACGGCGCACTAGTGGCTCACTCCCGATACCCCACCAGTCGGTGACCAAAACCACCTTCCTAAACGGGGTTCTGTTGGTTCTGAAGCACCTTCTGGCGAAGAATCCTTGGTTAGCTGAGCTCTCGATACCAACAAGGGGTCAAACGGGAAGCAGGCACAAGGGCCAGAGAGGGAACACTGCGCCATTGGCTCAATACGAAGTTCCTCAACCATCGGTTCCCAACGAGGTGCAGGAATGGCTTCTGATAACTCTGAAGGACTCGAAATTGTTGGGCTTCTGAAACCAGGATTGGGGCGCTGAATAAGATGGGCCTCTCATTGTCACTGATGGTGCTAGCAATCCGTGATATTTCAAATGCTCGATGAGGGAACGGGAGGTCGGCTTAATGAGAAAGCCGGCGGTGACAGCCGTCAAACCCATTGCGCCAAATTCTGTCAGCCACAGCACTTCTCCCCGACTCAGTCGGCATTCTCAGTCATCTCAAGAAGCTCATCGGTCACTAGGCCGGCGGCGGTGGTCCGGCGCGATGTGTGCAGAGCTACGGTCCACCGTTCTTGACAGGGAGTATGGATAACTAGGAGTTGCATACACCAGCTTTCGCCAACTGAGATGCCTGGAGACCGGGATTCAGATGGCAGACAATTGAAGCGCCCAGGAACTGCGATGCTCTGTTATCGTTAGAGCGTGTTGGGTTCTCTTTCTATCTTGTTCTGCACATGCATTTCTGAGAGTCTCGTGGCTCAATGCCTATTCTTGCCCCGCGCTAGCATCCTTGAGAGCATCGTTTCTCCAGCGCGGGAAGTTGATTGATAGCTACCTTCCATTGCCTCTACCGGCCTACCTAGTGACGAGAGAAATTACAGCCCATTGTATGAACAAGATCACTCGTGTGAGCATGCTCACTCTTTTCACAGAGTCCTCAATCAGTCTTTGACGAACAATGACAGAATAACGCTCATCACCCCGAGAGTATTCACTCACTCAAATTTGATCTTGTTCCGCAGAACGCCGACCTTCTTCATCTCCACCTCGACCACGTCGCCGTCCTGCAGAAAGCTCTTGGGCTGGCGGAACGCCCCGACGCCCGCCGGGGTGCCCGTCATGACCGCCGTGCCCGCCGGGATCGTGGTTCCTGTACGCTACCTGTCAGTCATCCGTTTCGAGCCGCATCATCACCCGCAACCTAACGTACCTTGACTCATATGGCTGAGGATCTTCTCCGGACTGAAGATCAGGTCCTTGGAGAACTCGGCCGTCTGGCGCACGTCGCCGTTGACCCTGGTCACCACGTCGAAAGCGGAGCCGTCCCCGAAGATGGAGGGGCTGATGAGCGTCGGGCCGATGGGCGCGAACTTATCGAAGGCCTTGGCGAAGAAGAACTGGCCCGCCGAGTAGCGTGGGAGCTGGTACATGCGGCAGGAGAGGTCGTTGCCGATTGTGTATCCTAGGATGTAGTTCTTGGCCTCGGAGGCGGACACGTTTTTGGCGTCCTTTGACGTGACGAAGACGAGCTCGCCCTAAATGCAGAATCAATGTGTCAGGCTCTGCTGTGTTGGTTTGTAGTGTTTGTGGGCTCGTCGTCTCCTTACCTCGTAGTCCAGGAGACTTTTGGCGCAGAAGTCGTTGACGGGGATTTCCTCTCCGGGGCTCGCAAGCGCCGCGGCCGGCTTCGTCCAAAGGGGCGGGCATGCTGGGATGTCAAGCTGAGCACCGCGAAAGATGTCAGTCATTCGTCATGTTAAAGTCGCCAGATGAGAGGACTGACAGTAGCTTCCTTTGCGTGACTTCGGTAATTGAGGCCGACACAGTATATCGGGAGTCCGTCTCGAGGCAGAGGTGGTAGAAGCTATTCTCAGTGTTAGCGCGCGAACTCTGGGTTAAACTATTGGTGGAAAGAGCGAATGAATGATTAGCTGAAAAACTTAACGAAGCAAAGACACTTACACGGCGCACAGTAACAATGTCTTCTTCGGACTTTTGTGCAAGAGCTTCTATGGTTTTGGCGCCGCTGAGCTTCGCGCCGGGCGACGGCGGTCCATCCGCATCGGGACCCAGATCGGCAAAGTAAACAGCGCCATCTTCTTCGCTTTCGAAACGGACGAGGTGTGAGAAGGACGACATTTTGGTGGCAATTGAAAATACAGTATGCTTTGCTTGATGTAGGTTCCTACATGCCTACATCTCGAGGGCTCATATATCATCTAGCACAACTCTGTCCTTGTCGTGCTAAAGCCCGGGAGCCGGAATCATCGGTATGTCCACAGCACGCATCGGAGCATCTGATCTGCCCGCAAGCTCTGCTGGGGCCATCGAGGGAACTTCAGCTGCTGCCTCCAAGCGGGGTCGGCGCTACCACTCCCTTAAGTCTTCAGCCAACGCCAATTACTCCGAAGTCATCTTCCCCTCTAAACCCTCGTTTTTCACACTCATATTCACATGCTCAAGGATACGCCGACGATTCCCAACACACATATTTCTCCCCACGGTAACTCTGATCCCTGGAAATCAATCCCTCCGTCTTCGAGTTCCACCGAGGGCTCCATCCCAGCTACTCAGGTGCCGCGCGCCACGACCCGTCCCCGGAAACCCAGATCAGAGGTGGTGGCATTCGGCACTTTCGATCGCCAGGCCGGAATAACGCGTTACGGCCGTCTTTGCCGTCCCCGCTTCCCCAGAGGTGACGACCTACCATCTCCCAACATGTCGTCGCCCGATCTTGCCCCTGCGCGCGAGGCAGAGATAGACAGCGATGCTAGACCTCGGGTTTGTGATAACTGTATCCGGTAAGGCACAGTCTCCAATTGAACCAACCGTCGTCACTCGCTGACAGTCCTCCCTTTTCAGCCAGAAAGTCAGGTGTAAGTCATAATGGCATCAGCTTCGCCTCCGACCCCAGGCTGATTCCGAGGCGACCCGTCTCTGCAGGTGACCTCAGACGACCAAAGTGCTCCCGATGCTTGGAGCGGGGGCACCAGTGCACTTACTCCTGCAGCCGCCGACGGCCTGGACCTCTCCCGGGAACTAAGCGTGGATCTCAGCGCGCATCTCTGTCGCGTCGGCCGAATAGACGTGTTGCCCGCGGTACGTACGACGAACCCGCGCCGTCGGATAGTCCGTCCGCCGTCCGGAATTACACCGTTGGCCGTTTCGCTGACCGTCTCCAGAGTCGCCGTTGCCCTCCACGCCCGGCCCTCCGAGCCACACCACAGAACCGCCCACACCCCCGACAACGTCAACCCCGGCAACGACAGAGCTACAGACCGCCACAACCTCCCGTTCGGGACCGTTGAACTTTTCACCTGAAGACGAGAGGTCTCTGTACGAACTTCCTGTCCCTCTCTACCAAGACTCTGCTGACCGGAACTCCTCCGAAGACTGGAATGGTACATAGACACAATCAACCATGCGTTCCCCGTCTTCCCCTATGCTCCGTCCGATGGTGCCGGTGTCGAGGTCGTGTCGAGCTGCAGTCGTGATCTCGTCCAGACACTCGTCGTCATCGCGGCCAAGCTGTCCGGCTTCGTCAGCACATCCTTTGATTCATCCGAACTCAACGCCCACATCGACCAGATCCTCAGCTCCGTGTCCCTGCAAGAGGACATCGCCGGTGACACGCCAACTCTCGACCAGTTCCGAAAGTTCTGCCTGCTTGCCTTTTACGAGTTCCACCAGTTCCCTGGCCAGCAGGCATGGACCCGCATCGGCAAACTCACCCGGTTGGCGCACTGGACTGGTCTGGATCAACTGGATAGGTTGCACGAGATCGCCCCGCCGTGGACAATATTGAGCAAGGATAGACTGGAGGAGTGGCGTCTAGTCTGGTGGTGCATCTACGCCCTCGATTCCTACGCCAGTGTCTCGACCGGGATGCCCTACGAAATCGACGAGGGGCTCATCAATACCGCCCTCCCACAAGGCCTGCCAACAGACCAGAGCCGAGAATTCTACCTACCTCACCGCCACGACGGCCTGCTCAATCTCGTTCAGAAGCTACTATCAGACTCCCCGCGTCAAACTCTCGGCCTCGAAATCCACATCATCAGCATCACCGTCCTCCGCCACGCCGGCCGGGCCCTCCGACTGCACGTCCTTGGCAAACAGGACGACTGCGCCAAAGTCGTCGCCGACACGGAGCGGCGCATCTCCGAGGTCCGCCTCGCCCTGCCGGGGAACCTCTTCAACCCCCGCCGCAACGCCTTCGCGAACGAGTCCGCCGCGACCCACCACTTCCGCCTCGTCACTGCCATGCATCTGCACATGGCGCAGATGCTCATGACGCTCATCAACTGCCGGCGCCTGGCGGAGGAGCACGCCTGGCTGCTCAAGTGGCAGCAGGTCCTGGAGATCTGCCAGGACGTGGCGGCTATCGCCAAGCAGTGGAACAGCAGCTTCTTCCTCAGCGTCGACCCGGCCGTGTCCATCATCGCGTTCATCGCGCTCATCTTTTTGGATTTGCATCTGAAGTTCAACGGTAATGCTGGTGCTGAAATTGGGGATGATCTGCGCACGGAGATTGAGCACTGCGAGACGGTCTTGTTGCTTTTCCTGGAGCAGTTTGCCAAGTCGTGGACCATGCCGCGCCTCCTGATTCGTGAGTCAAACCCATCCTTCTCTTCAGTACTGCTGTATCCGATCGCGTTGCTGCGCATGGTTGAATTGGGCTATTTGTCGACTAACATCGCTCTTGGAAAGTCTCGTTCAAAAGCTTCAAAGAGTCTCTCAACGGCCCTGTCGGATACCAACAAGTCCGTGCCGTGTTTCTCCATTTCCAAAGTCCGCTGCATCCTAGGTGGTTGCAGTTCCTGACCTCCAATGCTTTGCACGCCGAAAATTGCCAGTCATAGGTGTGACGCAACCAAAATTTCTGAGCGAGTTGTTGATTAGTTCCCCTGATTAGCTGCCTGAGAAACTCGTGGTTGGCGGGCGGCTTTCAGCGACACACGAAGGTAGACATAGAACCCTTTCAGAGTGAAAAGAGATTCCATGTGCGTATTCATAACGAACGTATGCCAGTATTCGCATCCATCTTCCCATAACATCATGTTCTGTAGGTACAGCCTGTCATTCGCTACTAAGCATCTCTTATTACAAATCCCCCATTCCTAACCAATCGCCCAGACACTGGACAGCTGCCCACCCTATGCGAAAACAAAACACGAGAAGCCTCCTCTCAAAGTTTCTTCACCGGCCAATCCTTCGGAATCTTATCCCCAAAATCCTTTGGAATCTCCGGGCCCCAGATCGAAAACGGCCCCACCACATCCCTCGACGTCGGCGTGTGCCTGTTCACCACATCCCCATCCGCATAATGCTCGATCTTGAACCCGCTCGGGTCCGCCCAGTAGTCAAAGATCTGGCTGCCGAGCACGTGCCGGCCGACGCCCCAGACGCTGTGCCACCCGCGCTTGGCGAGCCAGTCGTGGCCCAGCAGCTGCGTGTCGAAGTCGGCGACCTCGAAGGACGTGTGGTGGCAGAAGGCCTTCTTGACGTGCGGCTCCGCGCGCTGCATGAAGAAGGAGTGGTGGTCCGAGAAGGCGTCGCCGAGGTCCAGGTGCATGAAGGTCATGACGTCCATGTTGTCAAAGTCCCAGTGGTGCAGGATGTCGGACGGCACGAAGTTGAAGTGGGATGTGTACCACGCGAGTTCGTTGTCGAAGTCGGGGACGACATAGCCGTAGTGGCCTAGTTTGTGGACGAGGGCCGGCCCAGGGTGGTAGCGTTGGAAGGCTCCTGAGAGGGACCTTGTAAGCAACGGCGTTTGCGCTCTGATATCGAGGGGTGCTTGTTTTATGCTTACCTTGTCTCGGTTTCCTGAATGGCTTGTTAAAGGGGCCCACCTCCTCATGAGTAGCAGATGGCTCCTGAGGCTCCGGCTCGCGCTCTTTCTGGCCATATATAACATGGAAGAACGTATCATCCGGCCTGTTGAAGGTGACGATACTCCCGCCGCCAGGGGCATACTCAATCGAGCCCACCCGTGCGCCCTCCATCTTGGCCGCCTTGTCAAACTCCTCCTGTGACGCCGCCACGAACGCCGCGCCGCGGAACCGGGGCTTGCCGTCCTTGCTCCTGCTCGCGACGTACACGTACGGGTCTCGGCCGTAGCCGCGGTAGTAGATCGTGTCGTTCCCGGCGCGCGCCTCCTCGACGAAGCCAAAGTCGGCGGCGAACTTGGCGAACTCGTCCAGGTCCGGGTGGTCGACGTAGATGTGCCCCGGGCGCGCGAGCTGGACCTTGGAGGGGTCGTTGGCGATGGGCGGGATGCGCATGTCGGGCAGGATGGCCTCTCGGATTGGTTTGGGGAGCTTTGCGAGGACGGTGACGATGAGTTGGAGTGCCAGCGACATGGCTTGGAAGAGGGGGGAGGATGGTGGTTCAAATGCGTCCGGGGTGAGGGTGTTGGATTTGGGGGTTTGCTTGCAGTATTTGACGGCCGGTGACGCGAGGCATTGCCGTCGAGGCCGGGTGCTTGGAAATTCTATTAAGATGTGTCGCTCACGGCTGCGGGCTGAATTGGGTAGATCTACATGTTATCCATTGCCATGTGAGCGATCTGATCTTCCGTCAAACCAATTGTTCGGTGTTATTACGTTTGTCGAGCATTTACGCCGACGGAGCTTTCTCCGTCGGAGCAACTCCTAACCCCCCGACCCCCGGCGCCGGGAAAGCGGGGACCGTCGGAGCATCTTCCCCTTCGCCACCACCTCCACGTCCACGGGTGGATGTCCTACAAATGACCTCCAGAGCACGTCCCATACTTTCAGACCAAGATACCAAACCGACTTGTTGAGACGATCTCACAACACGCATCCTTCCAGCCCCAACGATGCCCACACCTACCCCCCGCCCCGTCGTCCTCATCACAGGCTGCAGCTCCGGCATAGGCGAATCCCTCGCCCTCGCCTTCGCCGCGCGCAACTTCACCGTCGTCGCAACCGCGCGGCAAACCTCCTCCCTCGCGCACCTCACCAAGCGCCACGACAACATCATCCCCCTGCCCCTCGAGCTCGGCAACCTGGCCAGCCTGGACTCCTTCCGCGACGCCGTGCTCGCGCGCACGGGCGGCCGGCTGGACGTGCTGGTCAATAATGCGGGTACGCATTGCGCCGCGACGGCGCTGGAGCTCGACATCGCGGAGGCGGAGAAGGTGTTTGCGGTGAATGTGCTCGCTGTGATGAGGCTGTGTCAGCTGTTCCTGCCGTACCTGTGCGAGGCGCCCCGCGGACGGATCGTGCAGATTGGGAGCGTGACGCGGGATGTGCCGGTGGCGTGGCAGTGTGTGTATAATGCGTCCAAGGCGGCGTTGAGCCAATATACGAAGACGCTGCGTCTGGTGAGTTCTAGTTCACTGCGACGCGCTATTATCTAACATGCAGCTCAGGAGGTGCAGCCTTTCGGGGTGGAGGTCGTCGAGGTCGTCACCGGGTTCGTGCGTAGCAACCTCCTCCACCACGGCCTCGACGCCCCGAAGGATTCGCCGTATCTCGCGATCAAGAAGGACATTGAGCGGATCAAGTTCGAGGGGAACCAGAACGGCATGCCTGCAAGAGCGTATGCTGAGTCTGTTGTTGAGCAGCTGCTCTGGAAGCGGAAGCGGGATGAGATATGGGAGGGGAAGCTGGCGTGGATACTCAATTTGATTGTCATCTTTTCACCTTTGTGGTTTTTGGTATGCGACACCCAAAGTGCTCTATCATTCACGTAGTACTGGTTGCGGCTGACACGTTGAGTAGAATTGGTTCTTTTCTCGTCAATTCAAGCTTAACCGCTTGGGGCGCCCAAGGAAGTAGTTCATGGAGGCAAGGCTTGATTAATGTCTAGTATATGGAAATTTCAGTTGGAAGTTCAGGGCCTTCTTCATGTCAACCGTCATCACTTGCTCCTATTACACCAAGACGACTGGGCAGAGGGATAGTTGTGCTGAAAAATAATGGACCTTTTGAAAACACTGCAGATGCCATGTAAGCCGGCTCTCAATCATAATGTAGTCTCCACTGTAAAGTTACTCAATCTTCGGCCACGGCCTTGTTATGACGTTGATCTCACCCCTCTGGAGCGTTCACGGCGGTATTGCCGTGCAAGCCCCACCCGGACGGGGTGACCCCGAGTCGGCTGCGGAGATTGTGGGTCACAGCGACGGCGAGCTCGGAGAGATTCGTCCAGCACTTCCGGCAGGCAGTCCACGGCTTTCAATTGGGTGCCAAGACGGTCTTTCTAAGAGATTCGGTGACCGATACCCAGCATGTGATAGGCGCATCTCCACGATCGTCGGCGTCCAGACCCTGCAGTACTCTCCAGTGTCCCCCCTAGAGGAATATCGGAGCTGCCGCCGCTGAGAATAAGGTAGTTGACCCTCCCTTGGGATCTGCCGCGCGCGGCATGTCACTAAAGTCTGCCACTTCGCATGGACTGCCACAGACAACGTCGGAGGATCCACATTGCCGCATCGCTGGACAAGGTTTCTGCAGGATGTCCCGCGGAACATCTCTGATTGGCGGTTCGCTAGTCAAAATGGCTGTATTCGGCATCAGCGGTTCGGCTCGTCTTGGGTACTTCGGGAAAGGTGGGGTTTGAGAGCAACGCGTGTAAGTGCGATGACCCCAACATTGAGAGGCAGTCGGCTCACGCGATTCGGAAACGATTTGTATTTGAGGCCTCGTCTTCGGTTCCCGCTGGATTACAATACCAATAATCAGTCGAATCAACACCGGAGCTACTTGATTGACCGCACGACGAGCGCAAAACACGATCTGGATACCATGGAGGAGACACAGGTCGTCATTGTCGGGGGAGGGCCCGCTGGCCTTGCCCTGGGATTGTCGTTGGCGCAACAGCAGATTCATGTAAGCTAAGTAGGCAATTCGGCGTCGATTTCGCGACGTTTTTCAGGCACGAAATGTTCGACTTGGACTGACTTTCAGACGCACAGTCAGTCATTCTGGAGAAGGCAGCAGAGGTAACCACGGATCCACGAGGCGTGTGGCTCACAGGAGATGCTGTAAGAATCTTTCACGCCATCGGAATCGGCCATGAAATGAATCAAGTCGGTCACGGTAGGTGCAATGAGTTGGTCGCCAAAAGCAAAGTTCTGGCTGACAACGTACTTATTGGAAACAAAAAGAGCCGCCTCACGTCAACTTCCACCATTCCACTTTTAACACGACCCCATTCTACCGGATGGAAATCACCACCTCCAACAGCCTCGAGCAGTGTGTTTCCGAAGGCTTCCTGCAAAACCAGCCCAAGCTAGGTTCGATTGATCTTGTCTCCTGGAAGGTCGTTGTTTCTGTGCTGACCTGACCTTGCAAGAGCACGCTCTGAGACGCGCGATCGAGAAGACCAGCTACTGCTCATTACGTACAAATTGCACGGTGATCGGAAGATCTACTGAGGTGCCGCCGACTGTCGAATACTTGGACGCCCAAAAGTCTCGCCGCGTCATCAGAGGACAATGGCTCATTGGCGCCGACGGCAAAACGGGCATCGTCCGCAAACACTTCCTGGAACCCACGGCCGGGATCAAGCAGGAAGCCGGCGTCTACCCCTACGAAGGGGTATGGGTCGCCGCCAACCTCAAAATGACCGTCCCAACGCCACAGACACACCCGAACTTCCCGCTCTGGAAGTACGGATACACCCCCGACGAGGTGTACGATCTATTCTGGCCCGCGGGCTGGCACTTCTGCAGTCCGCCCGGCAGGCCGACCGCAACAGGCAGATTCGGCCCCCACGCCGACCGGACATGGCGTCACGAGTTCCGCGTGGACGAGTTCGGAGGCCCGATATACCCGGAAGAGCTCTTCTGGGAACACATCTCTCAAAGCATCACCCTCCGAGGGGACCCCGTCCGCGGCCACCGCTTCGATGAGGCCGTCGAGTATCCCCGCGACTGCATCGAGATCCTGCGCTGTCGCCCCTTCAAGTTCGTGCATAAGTGCGTCAACCGGTGGTACGACAAGCGCACGCTCCTGATTGGCGACGCCGCACACGTTTTCCCGCCGTTCGCCGGCCAGGGCATCGCAAGCGGCGTCCGCGATGCGCACCAACTTGCATGGCGGCTGGCCCTGCTCCTCCGCACCGACGCGGACCCGGAAACCAACACTGTGATTCTAGAATCGTGGGCCGCTGAGCGCCGTCACAGCGTGGATGACGCCGCTAGGATGTCCATGGTCTCCGGCACCGTGTGCAACAGCCAACCGACCCTGTGGATCCTGGCGCTGGCGAAGCTGCACGGGTTCATCAACTCGATCCCCATGCTTCGTGGGTACGATCTGGTGGCCCAGCAGGAGCGGCGTGGTTTCTGCGGCGTTGCTGGGGGGTTCTTTCTCAAGGCTTACAACGGCGGTGCCCGACTGGCGCAGATACATGTCCGCTCCTCCCTCAGCCAGTCGCCGATTTTGTCTGACGACCTACTGCGCCAGCGCGGTACCATCTTCACGGTTCTTCTTATCGGCAGCGGCGATCCAACGGAGACGAACGAGTCGTATGCGGAAGCCAAGGAAGCTATCTCGGGAGCATCTTTGGACCCCAACGTCTTGTCAGAGGAATCCATCGTCATCTATCATCCACAGGGTGGAGAGTTGGACACAACGTTCAAGCTCTCGAAAGAAGAACAGAGCGAGTGGGAGGTCTTCTCACCTGCCCCAACTTCTGGAATCGAGGCACCACTGGCTCCTGGATACAACAGCACATCGTATCTTTCCCGACTAGGCTCATCTGCCAGGTTCGTTGTATTGCGTCCAGACATGTTCGTATTTGCATGCGCAAGGAGCAAGAATGAGCTGGCGCACTGCTTGGATCAACTTCGGGAACGTCTTGGTTGAGCATCTCATCGCAAGGCATGTCGTCTAAATCGCTCGACACAGAGGCGTGGAACGTAAACATACATGTGCATCTTTATATATATATAATGCTACTAGACCTAAAACGAAGCTCTCGGATTGTATCTAGCTCTTGACTGCTCAAGCCACCGGCTTTCCAAATCCGTCAGTCTTGGCAGCTTTGGAAGTAAAGCAGTTCCCGTCAGGGCCACAGTCCCGCCAGTCGACGCCGTCCTTGGGCGTGAAGCATGTGCTCTGCTCGTGTTTAAACCCAGGGCCCTCCTTTAGAGGTTTACAGAGCTGAAACGACTCATCTCCGCCGACCCAGCCGTCGTCTTCGCCGCCGTTGACCGAACCCTCGATGGCATGATACTTCTCTGTCGTTAGCAACAACACCATATGCTTATGGATTGAGAAGAGCTTACGTATACTCCTTCATACTCCGCCCCATCGTCTTTAGTCCACTTTTTTCCACCTGTGAGGGTGTCAGTGTTGAGCATAGGAGGCGCATCTTGGAAAAATCGCAAACTGACTGAACACAAATTTGCCGCTGGAGGCGCAGACGACACTTTTGGTGTATTCTTCGCTGGTTACTGTGGCTCCGTTATCACGGCAAGCACAGAGACGGTGCGGATCAGCGCTTGCGGTGGCCGCCCTAGAGAAGTTAGTAATGATCCGCAACTTGTTGTTACAAGGCTGATTGCGAGGTAACGCCAACATACAGAAACAAGGTCAGGACAGCGAAGGTGGTTTCCATCTTGAATACTTAGGTTGATGTTGCGAGAGAGTTGGAAAACGAATGTCTTTAATGAACGTGGGATTCTGCTAATTTGGCAGGCAGTGGAAGAAAATGAGTGTGTGTAGAAGTAGAGAAATTTCCTTCCTTCTCTCTGTCTCTATCTCTCTCTACATATATGTCTACATCTTGATGAAATTTACTGCTCGTACTTGCCGTAAACCTCCCAAGATGGCAAGATGCGCCTATTCCAGCACATGTTTGAAAGGTAGGCGCAGCCTTTATAGTCCAGGCAACACAGAGAGCGGTGCCCATTAAACTAAGTTTGCAGTGCTGTGTCTTATGGACGTGCTTCTGTCACGAACAGCTTCAGGCCTAGGTAAGGGCTATTGGCCAAGCCGATGACTCGCTGTGAGTAGAACCCCTAATGATCAGCTGTTCGCTCGCTCGACCTACCTAAAGCAGCAAGTTTAAAGCCTCGAAACTCTTCAACTTATGCATCAATTCTGAATATTAAGTCAGTTGTCCAGTCCTGGCACAAAATTGACACAGTTGTGACTCTTGAGCTTCGGAGAGCTCCTGTTCAAATAGGCGCGCCGAATGACTCAACACGTTGTCGCCATAACCAATACCCCTGGTTAATTAGCTGTCAATCGCAAGTAATCGGGGTTTCCGCAACCGGTTCGGGTTGTCAATTGCTACCGATACCGACGCCGTCAACACAGCGCAGTGTATGTTTCACTATAAAAACTGAGAAAATGTGGCTTCGACTATGTCACAACATAAATGGATGAAGAATTTCCATAACTGCTTGTGTTTAGCAATGCAATTTTGACTGAAGAGACAGCTGAGTTACTCTGGTAGTCCAATCCGTGCATACACGAGGGTAGACCTGCTCATGCCTATGTCCTTGTAATCGTGCTGGCCCCTCGTCTCTCCATATTGTATTTCAGTTATTCTTCTTTGTAGAACCAATACTATAATGTTGATTCGAATGACATCAAGGGAAGAAATACCGACGGTTGCGTAAGATCGCACGAAGTCTGGAGTTACCGCCTCGACATGGTTGCGTGTTCACGCCCGGACAACAGCCCATCTCCTCTACCTCATTCCATGTCTACCTTGACTTGAGTAATGAGATCTTCTGCGCTTTTATAGTTTCTTCCGGCGGTATTTCCGACAGCTACACGGAGTTCGCAAGTTCTCTCGGTGTCTGGCAGCTGAAGTACTCGACTGAGTTTGGTTGGGTCAGGCTAAGCTTATTGCGATATCTCATTCTTTTGTATTGCGCAAACCTGTTCCTTGAGACTCTCGGGTACTTTTCCGTTCCAACCCATGTACCTCTCGTGAAGGAGGATCACAAACAGCATTCACAAGCATCATGGTGCTCCCAGAGCCGTGCAAGCACAGACATCAATGCGCCTTCGCAGAAGTGCTTGCCGTGGAACTGGTGCTATCTTATTGCTTTGAATACTCTAAAGGCAGAACCACACAACCTGCCATGGTATCATTGTACGCAGCCGGTCGGCGCTGAGCCCGCGAATTAGTTCAGATACGTGCATGAGACTTTGCTGATGTCAGCATTGAGGGCTAAACACGAGTGGCATCGCTGTTTGGTCGAGGTTCAACCCAAGTCTGGTTGCGTTCAAGCTCTCAAATATGTCCTTCGCCATCAATGCAGGACCGTTTCCAAGCCCTTCAAGCCATCTTCACCCTGGAGGAATCCGACAGAAGCCCTACGAATATTAAAGATGGCGGCTAGGGGGCTTGAGGAAGACGCCACAAACACAATCTTGTTTCATCCTTCCCACTGAAGCCATGTCTTAAGCTGGTGACACTCTAGACTCCTGCTCAGTTCCTCGCTTCCCTAGTTGTAGAAGCTCATAAACGTGATCAAGAGTCGGACCGCCCCAGATATCGTCAGCATCTCTCATCTCTGTCCAGGTTATCATCCCAGAATAGGTACTGATGAAAGCTCCCGGTAAGAGCTCCAGGGCTTATGAAACGAGAGATGAGTTCTATGGAATGTCGTCGCACCTGCGACGTCTTACATTTTAATCAATGTAATAGCTCGGCGAAGGACTGGTCGCTGTTCTGGGAGACGTGTACTTCTCAAGTCCATCTTATGTCTGTTTCCACATGGATGGGTGGTCTCACACATTGGAACAGAGGCCGGAAGAGTATAAATAATATGAAACATGCTGCTGATTCTACCTAGTGATCTCTAAATCCACTGGTCCTGGTGTTATTAGGGTCTGTCTCCAAGCAGGAGACAATGTTCAGACAACCGCAATCTGTAGATTTCACTTCGTACTTCCACTCAGACCTAGGGCTCACACCAAGACTTTACCTGATGTATTGCCCACTTTACATTATGTAGAGACAAATACAAGGGTAACGGACGACGATGGCTGGTACCCGCGGCACAGCGGCTTAGAGCTGCCGACATCTTTGCCTGACACTGCCTGAGTCAGCGTCGTTAAAGTCAATTTAGAGTCTCTGATAGATATTCCGGAGATATTGTTTAGGGGATTCTGACTTGGGCATTCTTGTATTGATTATATGCTGGTTGGCTTCTCGGAGGATGAGGCGTCGAGCGGCTTCTGCTTCCGATCTGCCCCTCAAAGATGATTCCATACAGACTCAGCCTCAGAACAAGTGCGTATATATATGGCTTGATGCTCAAGCTCTTATTCAACACACAATGAGAAGATGGGCTGGCTGGCTGGGGCACTGTGGACTAACTTTCACAGGCTCCCACTGAAGATCGGTTTGTCCTTTCCCAGCAACCATCGTGAAGCCTGATACATGTATCTATTCCGTTGTCTGAGTATCATGAGACGTATTTCTAAGTGGTAAGGACGATGACGGCAGATGATGCCCTAAGAAGTCGCATGCAGGTTATCATGCCAGTGAGTTGGTAGTGAGAGTGGCGGGAACATAGAACACGACGTGAAGATAAAACTCGTCTGAGGCAGGCCCGCACCGAAGAAGACAAGTCGTTTCCAAGGTCTCATTTGCTCGTTTAGTGTTTCTTTGGATTCACTCATTTTATGTAAGTCCTCAAAACCCCGTTACATCTCCAACACCAGCGTAACCACAGTCCAGGCGCTTCAGCCACCCACAGCAGCCATAAATAGCCTCGAAATTATGTGTATTTAATGCGCAAAATCATAGAAAACTTTCATAAAAAACAATCTGGTTGAGCTGGGGTTTCTGGCTAAGCTTTTGATCTCAGGAGGACAACAAGGGATGTTGAAGCTAGAGCAAACGCTGCAGAATGGCAGGACAGGGTAGCCTGTAGCATCATCACATTCGAAAACAGCGAGAGCTTATTTGTTCTCACATGCTTTGAGAAAAGCAGTGATCATGAATACTAGGGGGGAGAAACGCGGTGTGAGCTCGCCTAAATAAGAATAGTTGAGCAGGCTCTTGAGGTCTCGCGCCGAAACCTGCGATCTGGAGGACCTAATGGTGGGTTCCTTGACGCCAGTGGTCTGACGAAGACATTCGCTGGAGATTTCAACTGGGCGGATGTCTATATCTATTTATTCAAATTCAGAGCCTTCAAGTTTTGCTCGCTTACCGCATGAGTATGTCCTGTTTTGGTTTGGAACGTATCCGTTCAGACCCAGCTTCAGCATTGTGAACTTCCTCATCTGCAGGCTTCGGCATGGCACTGTTATGCCTTCAGGACGCTAATCTACATCGTATTCTGACTTTTTAGCTTTCATTATCGTCTGATTTCTGAACTTTCATTATCAGGTTCGCATGAATCTTTGTGTCTGTCAGCTATCCGCTTGAGCTGGTATCGCGAGCCTCCGGTATCGCAACCAATGGCGACAGGTTTGTCACTTCGAGGTCACCCGAATATACAAGATGAATGATCTACTGGAGGAAATGACAGGAACTTGGCTAAGAAAATACTGTCTTGGTATATCTGATACCTTTCTACACGCACTCATGTATACTGATGTGTTTTCGCAACATGGCCTAAATGGCCCCTTGGGTTTCCCCAAGACTGGACGCGTGCCGGTAATCCCATCTTCGGATTTGGAGTACAGTTTAACAAGGAAAGCTATCTTAAGTAATCTCTAAGCCATGTTATTTGACTATCTCACGCCCTGGATGCACCTTCAACCCCCAGTCCGACGAGAATCAACTATCCGGCCTGTGTGCTGGAGCAATAAATCAAAGAGCGTTGAGACTACAGTCACATAGGAACATTTTAAGTGTGAAATTGCGCCGTGAATTCTAAGCGACCAAA